AAAAAAAAAAGTACTATTTCTACTACTATTTTTTCCACTGTACAGAGATAGCAAAACTATTAAGAATTTGAAGGCCTTTAGTGTGTCACTGGAACAAATTCTGTATTTGTTTTTCTGCTGCATTACTTTAGTATCCTCTTACTTTCTCCATCCTGATCACTGACATCAACTAACTCTTGTCTTATGCAATGCTAATGTTTTGCTAATTTTGCACTTACTGCCTTCTGTCACATCTCCCACGTATCAAAGTGTATTTGAAGCTGTTTAGGAGGTGTCAGTTGTAAGCTGCTTTCACTACACACCACAAGGAACTTAAATACTTTCTCTGCAGGAAGAACAAAACTAGTAACCAGAGTGTAGGATAAATTTTTTATTTTTTTGTTCATTTTCCTGAGGCTTTTTGTAGCTGCAGCAGCCTAGGAAAGTTTTCTGAGGAATGTATTCAGCCAAATGAATGTCTGCTCTGGTGGCTTAGAACTGCTGGGAAATGTGAAAGCAACCTTGTTGTAGTGTAGTGCTGCTTATGGCAGACAGAAATACTTCTTTTCTGTACTGACGCTGTTACCAACTGATCAGTAATCCTACATTGCCTTAAGTGTTCAGTTGTGCATTTGCTAAGCTTTCACAAGTATTTGGGAAAAAAGTAATTAGTGGACTCTGCCTGTTTGGCTTGTGCCTTGTGGTTTGCAGAAGAGATACTTTGTATGCAGCTGTTTTCTGTTTAAAATGGTTTTTGCACTGTTTTTAACAAAGCCCTTGACTAGGCACTTAAGATATTAACCAGCTTCAGCAGATCATGCGTCTGACGGGAACGCCCCCTGCATATCTCATTAACAGGATGCCCAGCCATGAGGTGAGCCCTGAGCAGATGAGGGGGTGGTTTGCAGGGCAGGTCACCACTTGCAGTGTTTGCTGCCTCTGAAAATGATAGGCTTGCATGTGACATGGGTGGGCCATTGACCACCTGTTCTTCAGCAACTTTCTTGTACGAAGTGAAGACTTGAGATTGGACAGTGCATACTCAACCACAGACTCAGAAGAACCTGGATGTGAGTTGGTTTTGCACTGTGTGAAACACATGGTCTACCAGCAGACACCAACTGCACACAGCCTTGTCAGTACTCCAGGACAGGCAGCTCTGCACCTCTTTGCTTCCCAATCTTGCATGAACCTCAAGTAATGTCAGCTCTTGCTCCACTGTCCTGAGTGGCCTTTAGTTGGGAAGGGATAGCAAGGATGGGCTTAGCAAGTATCAGAATAAGTACAGAGGAGGCAAAGCAAGGAGACAGACCATAATGAGCAGTGCTTCAGGATGACTGAAATGTACTGTCTAGGTGGCTGGGTGGTATTATACTTAACAGACTGTCTATTTCCACAGGCGAGAAACTACATTCAATCTTTATCTTACATGCCGAAAATGAACTTTGAAAATGTGTTTATTGGTGCCAATCCATTAGGTAAGGCTTGACTCCTAAATGGGCTCTTCCCAAAGCTGAACTTGGCACGTGCTGGCAGGCCAAGACTTTTCCTAAAGTTGCACCACTTGTTCAGAACAGGGATGCACACATTTTTCAAAGTTGACAAAGTATGTATGGACTGTAAGGTGTGAGGGAATAGACTGTGTGGAATGGGGTGGCTCCAGAGAAATTAGTTTCCTCATGTACCTTACACTTTTATAAACTTGCATTTCAGAACTGACTGCTCACTATGTGACATTCTTTCTTTTTGTCTTGGTGATTTTTCAGCTGTGGACTTGCTAGAGAAGATGTTGGTACTGGATACAGACAAACGAATTACTGCAGCAGAAGCGTTGGCTCACGCCTACTTTGCTCAGTATCACGACCCAGATGACGAACCAGTGGCAGACCCCTATGACCAGTCTTTTGAAAGCAGAGAGCTTGAGATTGAGGAATGGAAAAGTGAGTCTGGGGAGCAGGAAAGAGCCAACCTGATTCCTTTGTGGTCTATTCCATGAGTTGCAGTTTAATTAAAGCCATGGTAGTTACAGGCACTAAAGAAGCCCTTTGAAATGGTAGATAACAGCAGGACAAGGAGAAATGGTTTGAAGTTGAGGGAGGGAAGATTTAGGTTGGATGTCAGGGGGAAGTTCTTTACAGAGAGTGGTGAGGTGCTGGAACAGCTGCCCAGAGAGGCTGTAGTGCCCCTCCCATCCCTGGAGGTGTTCAAGGCCAGATTGGATGAGGCCCTGGGCAGCCTGTTTTAGTATTAAATGGGGAGGTTGGTGGCCCTGCATGTGGCAGGGGGGTTGGAAATTCATGATCCTTGAGGTTCTTTCCAACCCTGGCCATTCTGTGATTCTATATGGAGTGAATCTGTCAACTACTGTGCACATAAGTAGCATAGTCCTTGGTAACTTCTACTGTAAGCATACAAGCACATAGGGTGGCATGGTTGCTTACATGTTTTTCAAATGTATTTACACATTAGTGCTCTGAAAGTATCCTATTGTGCCTGTTAGTCTCTGAGGTGGTTTAGCCATTATTTAAGATTAAGGTTTTTTGCACGAGGGGTCATTAGTACTTAAGTTTCTGACACTTTTCCCACCAGGCCTGACTTACGATGAGGTAATCAGCTTTGTGCCACCGCCGCTTGACCAAGAGGAGATGGAGTCCTGAGAAACTGCTCTCTTCTTTTTGTCCCACTTCACTGTGAGGGGAAGGCCTTTTCATAGGGACTCTCCAACTATCATTCAAGTGCCTCGCCACAACAATATTCTCCTTGGTGGAAGGGTTTTGTGTGTGTTGAATTGGGGAGGGTGGGGGGAGGGAGGAAAGCTGAGTCTATGTAAACATGCTGCATGCTCTCTTGTGTTCTGTGTACAGCCTGGAGCAAGTCTCTGAAGACCTGTTCTGACTGCTCTTTAGTCCTTCCACAGGAAGCTTCAACCAGTTTGTGCTGCTGGGGTGAGGAGGGGAAGGTGACATTCAAAGTTTGGTTACAGTTGTTGCCATTTATCAGTTGTTCTACAACTAACCTCAAAATAAGGAAAGTTGGTTCATAGGCTTAGAGAGCCCTCTGTTTTCTTTGGGAGAGAATGTAGGGTTGAGGGATGTCCTTGTTCCATGCTAGGTGGCTGATTCACATCCAGATCTTCCTGGTACAGGAGAACATACAGGTTTTCTGACAACTGCCTGATTCTTGGAACATGAAAAGATTTTGTATGAAACTGTAAATATGTTTGTGCCTTAAATGAATGGGGAAAGAGAGGGAAGAAAGTCTGGAGTGGAAGCGTCTGCCCTGCTGTTTCTCAGGGTGAAAGCTTCCAGACAGCCAGGCATGAACTCTGTGTGTTCAGGAAATAACTTTCCAAGGCAACAGCCTCTCCTTGGATTGGTATTCCGTATTTTTTTCCCTCTTTTGATCCTCTAGTTGTGCAGTTTCTCAGCATTAGCTCCCAGGAGATGGAGGCTGGAGAAGATTCTTGCTAGCCATGTTTGCATATCTTGTTCCTTAAAAGGTGGGGTGTTCTTGCATGTCATAGCTGTATGCGCATGTAGAGCTGCTTGGTGTTTGTTGTTACATTTGGGGGTGGCACTGGGGCAGTTAAATCATCAGTGAACTGTTCACTGAGTACCTCAGCCAGTGCCACAAAATCACAGCATCCTTCCTCTTGTGCTGCAGCTCAGCGTGAAATATCTGCCAGTGTGGAGACTGACGAGAAAAGGGTAAAACATAAAGCATAGAAATGCACATTTTCCTTTGTTCTGATCTTCTGGCTTGAGGAGAGATTGGGATGGAGGGCTTCTTGTGAAATCAAGTGTAAAAAATGTTCTTTGAAGAAACAACTGTTGCATCTTGTGCCAGAATTTATTTCCTGAATTTTTTTTCTAAAGATGTTGGAATCCAAAGCAAAGAAATAAGCATGCATAAAAACACAATCTCCCTGTCGCTGTCTATATAGGTATTTATATAATATAAAACTAACATTTACTAGAGGATTTTTTTTTACCCTCACAGATAAGAGCTTCTTGGCTGCTTGTTAGCAGGTTGAGCTCTGCTTGAGGAAATGGGAGGAGGGAGTATGTTTGGATACAACATGACAAAAATACTGATATTTTACAGGACTCTACATGAATTTAATGCCCAGTTAGGTACTGGCAGGAGGGGCTCTTTCTGTGTTTTTTCTGTGCTAGAACTATGCTGTGGATCTCAGGAGCCTGATTGTAGGATTTGGGGAGGAGACTTTTTAGACATTTATCTGTTGCAGGCGTCCTGTACACGCAACATAGCAGCTGTGTATGTGAGGAGAAGGGCTTTTGCAGTATTTTGCATTCTTGTTACCTATGGGATGGAGAGGAACTGTTTGTAGTATTTTTACCACGTGTCTGAAGAGGTGGCACAAAGGGATGGGACACAAAAGATGAAGCCATCGATTCTTGCTAGGCTACTTTCCAGTGATCTCTTCAGGTCAAATGTTTTACAAAGTCTGGGGTGAGACGAACAGGGAGTTTGTGCTCTGTGATAACGCTCTCTTCAGACCAACAAAATAGAGATAAAACCTCCCTGCTGGACAAGCAGTCCGGGTATTCAAATGAAAAAAGTGTAGATAGACTCTGTAAACCTACAGCAAGATTATTTTTATCAGCCATTTTATGTGTAGATGCTACAGTGTGATTCCATGCAGAAATACTGCTAAAGATTTTTAAAAATATAGACATTGTGTGTATGTGTGCGTCTGTGCGTGTGTGCGAGTGGGAAGGCTTCATTCACAGCCCTGCTCTGAGGGAGCTGCGTGGCACTCCTGCGTGCAGTGCAGTCTGTTGGGCCGCCTGCAGTCTGAACAGGAGGATGCACTTCAAAGAAGAGATCTGCTATTTTGTTTCTATCCATGAGTTTTGTTGTATTTGGTTATGCTGGATAAGATGTCACAATACCACTGGTTAAAAATAAAACCTATTTTTCAGATTTACTGTGCTGATGGTTCTTCTAACCCCTTGTGCTAAGCAACCGGTTTTGGTGTGAGATGAATTCCTCCTCGTTATACAGAAAATCCTGCGTGGTGGAGGGGTGGGTAATGCTGCTCAACTGCAGGCACGGTGCTCACGTCCATGGGCCCCCCAAGTAGCTTTCTTAGTACAAACCTAGCCTGGAGTCTGCATCACTACTGGACAGTAAAAGTATGTGTAGTTTTTAGCTTAGGGAAGTATTTTTTTTGTTTTTTTTAAATATATATTCAACACAACAAATGAGAGTTCTGCTACTTGCCTGGTCCTGGGACTTCTCGCTGGTTGCAGTGATTTGCAGATGTCTGCCATTTAGAAATGAGTGGGTTTGTTTCTGTCTTCAGCTGTCATCCAGTTGGTAGTGGGAGCAGGAGCGTTGTGACTTGCCATACTGGGGATTTTCTGACTGCTGTTGTGTGCCAGCACTATTCAATCAGAAGGACAATTAGAGGAATAATTGAATAGAGCTGTGTTCATCACACCAACAAAAGCCTCAGTGCTGGCTGAGATAGAGCAGTGCAGTTGGTGCTGATCCGAGTCAGGTAACTGTTACTGCACCTTGTATTTTCCCCTGCAGCACGGCACAGAGGTTGGTTTGAAGAGGCACAAAGAAAAGGGTGCTTGCTGTGGTGCAAATGGAAAGAGGAAAAAAAAAAAAAGAATTTTTTTAAAATCCTACATGGGGTTTGTCGTCACTTCTGGGGAGAAAAATCCCAAATCCTCAAAATTCCTGAGTTGTGTTTGGTTACAATATATGTTGGTTAGCAAAAGACATTAAGTTCAGTGAGAAGTGAATTAGGGAAAACTGGCTTAGACTAATTTAAAGAAAATGGGAAGCCTTAAATTAACTCATCTAACTACAGCTGTGCCCCAGATACTCAGAACTCCCGAACTGTGTGCCGACAGCTGTGTGTGTGCAGTTGTGCAACAGTTCTCCATGCTTATGAGGTGACAGATGAGTTACATTTGCTTCTGTCCCAGCAGTTCTGGCTGTAATTCCTCTTGCTCACTAATGTATTTATAGAACCCAGCCCATTCTGCTTTGTTTCCTTACTATGCTGTTGCTAGAGCTGGGGTTTGTTTGCACTTGTGTGTATAAGCAAAGTTAAAATGCTGCCAGCACGCAGACCCTGACTTGTTTTATAGAACTGCAGGCCTTACCACTGCTATCTGGAGAATGCGTGTGCCAATTCTAAAACGTGTTACGGTGGTTGCGAGTAACCAGGTAAATGAATCCTCCCTGAAACTGCAGTAGTGCGTTTCCCTAAGTCTCACTCGTCAGGCAGAGGATGGAGCAGAGCTGAGTGTTGGCAGAGCGTGGCTGCTCAGGCGTAGCTTAGTCACTTCCTCTGGAGGGAGGGTGCACCTCAGCTCAGCTGAAGTCGAAGCAGAGTGCTGAGGCCTCATCTCAGCAGGATGGGTTGGGTGCTGAGCAATGGGACTGACTGCTGCAGAAACAAGGCTGGACCCCGCAGCCCTGCGGCTCCCAGGATGGTCCCATCTCGGAGCAACTCCTGAGCGTCTCACTGCAGTCACATGGATGAAGTGAAGCTCAGACAGCCTTCTCTGCGCCCATCTGCTGGGAAACCATCTGCTGGGAAACCGTGGAGGAAATCCCCGCCGTTCCCTCTTCAGTGAGTGTCATGCCCTGGACTCTGTCCTGGAGCTCTCTCTTCTCCCAGCAGGTCCCCACGGGGCTGACTCGGTGCTGTGGCACGGTAACCTCTCCTCTACGCCAAGCATGACCTCGGATTCCTGATGCAACCTTACTCACTCTATCGGCGATCTCGTGAGACCCCCGTGAGCCCCACATGGCACTTCTGGGGTGGTAGCCGCTCTCTCCTTGAAGTCCCACCAGCGGCTGCAGGTGCGGCTGCGTCGGGGCGCCTATCGGAGCACCCAGAAATACCTGCACACGGCCGAGGCGTGTCTGGAAACCTGATGCCTCATCTCTGCCATGTGGAGGCGGAGGGAGGAGGGCTGTGAGACATGTCCCTTCTCGCTCACAACAGCTGAAAGCAGAGAAGGCAACTTGCTACAGGCCTTCTCAGCAGTGCAGAGCGTCCCAGTCGCATCCCAGGGGCACCACCAGACGCTGGGACTCTGGGGGGGTGGCAGTCCCGCAGCCGCCGGGCGATGAACATCGCAAGGAGAAGAGGCTTTTACAGACAGGAGCTGAACAGAACCGTCTGGGAGCTGCCCAGGAGGTACATCTCCCTGCACCCCGTGGGCTCTGGGGCCTACGGTTCTGTCTGGTGAGTGGGGCCTGGGGGGAGCAATGAGGGCTGGGGGTGAGAGGTGCCTCAGCACCCCACGATGAAGGGACTTTGTGATGAAAGCGGTTCGTCTGCTGCTTGGTCACCGCAAAGGGTTGCTTGAAAAAAGATCTGTGCCTCCTGCAGTCACCCTAATAGGCAATGGGGAGAGTCGTGTCTGGCTCAGCCCTGTGGGTGTCCTGCAGGCAGGGATGGCCTCAGGTCTGAGATTGGGGTAAGGGAGTGATCTGGTTGGCAGGAAGAGGGAAACACCTGAATTTCTCAGAGCTGAAGAGTTGGGCACTCAGCAACAAAGCACTGAGCTCTGGGCAGAGCTACAGCAGCTGATGCTGTCCTATGGGGGAATGGAGCTGGGTGGTACGGCCACAGCGCTGCTTCCAGCTCCGTTGTAAGGCAGCAGCCGGCCGGGACTTCCTGGCTGGTGGCAATCCCCGGCTGACAAGGGAGCAGCAGAGCTGCTGTTAATTACTTACTTGGACAAAGGTACCCATAGTGAAAGCGAGCAGAAAACTTGGATCTCGTTTTGTTTACACTGGTGAGTAGGAGGAGGCTGGTGACTTCTAGCAAGGGCAAATCTGAAGCAGCCCATTGTCAGTACCCAAACAGAACCTCACTGCATAATAGGGTAAAAAGGAAAAGGAAAGAAGTGTGTCCTCTTTCCTGGATGTTGGGCAAAGCACGTCTTGCTGTCCCAGAGGAATCCCCAAACCATCTGGCTGAAGCTGGGGCTCTGTCAGTGCACTGCAGGATGCAAATGGGGACCAGAGGTTTCCTTCCCCACTTTTCTGCTTATGTGCAAGGCAGAATCCTGAGACACCTCCTGAACCCGGTAACACAAAACTTAATATTTTTCGTATGTTTAAAAAAAAAAAAAAAAAAAAAAAGAAGGGGGAAGATAAATCCCTCCAAAGTTTTCTTGACACAGAACGCCAGTGCCCAAACCAACCCGTTACTGTGGGACTTTGCAGACTAGGGATGCATTAGAACAGACTGAGGGGAGACGGGGCTTTGGTATGGGATGGACGGTGCTTGGCAGGGTGGGATTGTGCTGGTTCCTGTGCACAGCACAGAAGGAATGCTGTGCAGTTGGGATTTGCTGTCCTCTGCTGGGAATCACTGGAAAGCTTTTCTATCACAGCACTATTTGGAGCTGACAGCTTTTGCACATCTTTGAACAATGACAAGGGGCTGAGAAACAAATTCTGGGAGGCCAGCATGGGCTTGTTTCTTTTCCCATAAATTCTGCAATGATTTGGTAACTGGGGAGGTTTTCTGGTGCCCCCAGCCCTGTCCATGGGTGCAATGTGCCACAATTACCCGTGGAACCTTCATGGTACGCTCATGACCTCACCTCGAGGTCGGCCTTGGTGTCATCCTGAGCTTCCAGCTGCTCCTTAATCTCTGCTGGGAAGAATGTTGTGGGCTCTCCCTGCTGTGGCAGGTCTGGGCTGTGTCTTATGGCAAAGGCAAAAGTAGCTCCATTTGTGCTGGGTGGAATGAAGCTCCAGCTCCTGCATGGAGTGGTGGGGTTGGATGTGTGTTCTGCAGGCCAGAGGCTGGGAAGGCAGTAAGAGCTGGCACTTGGAAGTTGGGAAATCTGCCCTGAATTCTGTGTTTGACTGAGTACTGCCGGATCCTTCCTCTTTGTTCCTTCACGGCTTGGAGAACTGTGCTGCCCTTCTGCCAGCAGCTGCTAAAGGACGAATGGAACTGAGACAAATTTTTCCATTCCTCTCGAGATGTCATTCAGTGTCACTTTCAGTGCTTTCACAGCCTGGTGTGGCTCCCTTTGCTTTTTTCAGCTGAATACATTACAAAAATGCAGTCACACCAAAGCTCTCAAAGGATGTCTGTTCTCATCACTGGTAGCTCACAGCAACCATAAGAGACTTCAGTAGCCATGAGGGAGAAGATCGATTGTCTGATGCCATCAGAGATGTCTCTGCTCACTCAGTGAGAGTTGCTGGTGAGCTGGACCTCTGGCAGCCATACCACAGTGAATTGCTGGTGGCTGGAAATTGGAGAAAGCTATTAACAGGCTCCTGAGATTTGCACCAAAGTATAACAACCTTCCTTGGTGTTACAAAGGGGAAGCTGTGCTGAGCGGCATATTTCCACTTATCCTACTGCATCTCTGCACTACACCCAGCAAAATGCACCATTTGACTGCACTGTTACAGATGGGCATTTTCTTGTTGACTGTTCATAAAATTTTGCCTCTGAGTGATGGCCCTGGAGGCCTCAGGAGCAGTGCCTCTGCTCTGCAGCTTAATGGCATAGCCCTTCCTGGACTTGGTGCCCAGAGGAAGGAGGAGCAGATGGAGCTTGGGTCTGCAGTGGGAATGGATCACACATCTCCTTGGTGGGTGGAGAGAATCCTTAAAGAGCCTCAGAGAGAGAGAGAGGGTGTCACAGGATCATTCCACCCAACTGGAAACAGCCGATGTGATCATAAGGAATAGCACGTCTCCAGCTGTGGTGGCTGTACCGTGTTTTCGTAAGCTTATGAAACAAACCTTATTTGCAGCCATACCTGCTTTTATACAGAAGCATACAGAAGACTGCAGAGGAACTAACTCCAGCAGTCTGTGTTGTTTTCAGTGTGACATCCCATCTTTGCTCTGGAATACAGTGAAGGATGCTGACACACCTTCAATGCCAACATCTTGCAAGCAGGTGGCAAGGAGGAAATTGCTTTATTCCCCTTTCTCCATGACTTAAAGAAGGAGTTGACATTTAACCATTTGTGTAATGTTGCTTCGTTAGCTCCAGCTTGTTGCTACAGGTTAAAGCAAGCATTAAAGGGAGTAAAGACTGGCACTAGTGCTTTTCTTTGTGTGCTCTCTAGTCTTCTTAGTATTCCTGAAATCATGGGCAGTGCTCTAACAGCCCAAGTCATATAGAAGGAAAATCTGTGTGCGAGCCCCACTGAGTTTCAATACCAACACAGAGAGATCAGGAGGCTTTTTCTTGCTATGTTTTTTTTTTTTTTTTCCGGGGAGGGAAAGTCCAGCATTCACTCTTTTCTCAGAGGGAAATTGATCTGGTGTTGCAAAGTTCGTTAAAACACATTTGCAGTGTGAAAACTGGTTTGTATTTGTCTGTCGCAGTTCTGCCATAGACAAGAAGACAGGAGAGAAAGTGGCCATCAAGAAGCTGTGCCGCCCGTTCCAGACAGAGATCTTTGCCAAGAGAGCATACAGAGAGCTCATGCTCTTGAAGCAAATGCAGCATGAGAATGTAAGTATGCATTTCCCACTGTTTCTGCTAAAGCAAGGGGAACTCCTCTGGGTGCATGCCGACTCTGGTGGCAGCACCTTACCTTTGAGAGGGCTCAACATCTGCCATGTGGAGCAGTCTCAGGCTCTGGCTGCTGCCCAGCTGGTGCCACATCAGCTCAGGCAGATGTGTAATGGGTGTTCCTGTGTCTTAGTAAGGGGAAAAGTAGCTGCACAGCACGACGAGGAGTCCTCACATTCCTCAGATAGAGCTCTCAGTGCTCACGGATGTGCTGATGGAGAGCTGTTACCTGAGTTTTACGTGCAAAGCAAACACTTCCTAGATTTACGTTTGGGCTTCTCTTGTCTATCAGGTCATTGGGCTGCTCGATGTCTTCACCTCTGCCCCTTCCTACCATGGATTTCAAGACTTGTAAGTGTGGGGTTTGTGTTGCTTTGCCTAGGCTGGATTACTGCGCACCACAGGTGCAGGCTTTGCAGCAGCACGATGGATCATGCTGAGGTGCAGTTCAACACGCTAATTGGAAAAGGGACAGACTAAAGCCAGACATCCCCAAATACCAAGGAGAATCAGAAGCAGTTCCTGTAGCTGGAGGGCCCACGTGAACAGATGGCATGCCCTGTTCACAGCTGGGCGAACGTGGGATAGACAGGCCAGCATAAATACCTGGGGCATTTTGTTCCACGGCACATTATATGTCTTGTGACCCATGCTGATGCACAATGTAATCTAGAGGCTGCATTCAGAATGGGGAGAAGTGGCGTTTACCAGTCCACAGGGTAATTGAACTGAGAACTTTGGAGATCTCATTTTCTTTTCGCTTTGATTCTGGCTGTTCAGACACCTTGGTGTTGGTGGTCAGGTCAGACAAGCTTTTCTCACTTCCTCATCCCTGGGCAACATGCACCTGCCTCTGGGTTTGCGGCTGCTGGCTGATACTTGGCATCCTGCACAAAAAGCATCCAATGGTTCTGAGATGTTACTGCTGCTAATTGCAGCCTCAGCAGGCAGGTTGAAGGAACCTACAGGTTGCTTTCCAAGGCAGGGCCAAGAAATATTATAAATTTGGGAGCCAGTGCTGCAGCTTTGCAAGACTCTGTAAAACTGCACAAGGCACTTCTGCTGCCAGGTGGATGTAAAGTCATATGGATTTGAAAATTTAAAATTAAACTGATTTGAGGTTGTTAAGATTTGGAAGATCTTAATTTATATCATGTATCTGATCTGAGGGGAGGAGAAAGAACACTTTTCAGAGTAGGCAGAATCCCTAGCATTGCTGCAGGCCATGCCAGTTGGCTAGGAGCAACCACAGCCACCTGTCCCAGTTACACTGATTTAAACAGCCACAGGAAAACAAACCACCCAAACAACAACAAAAATGAGAACAAGGCCATCATGGTTCCTTGTGCTTTTCTTCTAGACTCAGGGCTTTGTCTTACTGCCTTTTAGCTACCTGGTGATGCCATACATGCGGACAGATTTACAAAAGATCATGGGACATGAATTCAGTGATGAAAAGATCCAGTACCTGGTCTACCAGATGCTGAAAGGGCTGAAGGTAGGTGGGGCTGGAGAAACAACATGACTGGACTTAGTTGATCTTAGTAGAACTTCTCTCCAGTTGATCTTGCTTTGTCATCTCTGGGCTGACCACAGCAACAACCCCTGTCTGGGGAAGATTTGTTTTTCTGGGTGTTTGTTTTTGTTTTTTTTTTAATGGCACACACTGAGAAACAGGGATTTGCTCTTGTATGACTCTTATTCTAGCACACATCAGTCCAAATGGCTGTCCTTTCATGATAGTCAATCAGGCATTGAAGCTTCCATCAGTTGTAGAGCTTGGAGTGGTTTCTCTGTGACAGCAGCTGTGTTGCTGACTTGCCAAAACCTTGAGCAAAATTCTGCAGGACCAGGAGTGAGTGGGGCTCCTGCTGAATTTCTCACCTGGGCTGTCAGTGAAGAAGATGGAGGGAATGATTTTCTGTTCAATACATTGGGCAAGAAATGTACTTCTCTAGCTACCCTTGGGAGAACAAAGCAATCACTCCAAACCCTGAAATTCAGAGATAATGTCTTAACATTGCCCTCTGTAACACCCTCCATCTGGAGATTAGAGCAGTGGTTTCTGAGTACTAATAAGTTCATCCTAATAACACCTTTCCCCACATCACTTCTACCTCGAGTTTAAATAAAGCAAGGGGAGAATAATGCCACTGGTCTAACTGGTGACGCAAAAGTCACAATCGGTGTTTGAATCTGATTTCCAGGTTTGGTTTAATGATGAGATTGTTGTTTCAGATGTTAAACCATGGGGGGAAAAAAATGAATCAAAGTTTTCACGCCATCCAACTGACCACAGCTCTGTCTGGATTAGGGTTTTGATAGTTTTAAGATACTAGTTAGCTTGCTCTGAGGCACTGTTGCCCCGTACCCCCCTTCTGCTCAATGCTGCTTCTTTAGAGTGGCAGCATAATTGCAAAAGCTGTCAGAAATGCAGTTGGAGGCTTCAGATTGCTCTCGGGTGGTTTTCCCCCATCAGCCACTGCTTATCCTATGGTTATGGGCTTTACTCTGGGGCCGTATTCTGGGACACGCAGTAGATGCCAGCACTGTGTTCCCATTGAGTTCCTCTTTGGAACTCTCATTTCTCCACTGGAGAAAACAGTCTTATCTGCTGGTGACCACACTGTGGCTTCTCTTTTTATTGCAGTATATTCATTCTGCCGGAATCATCCACAGGGTAAGTTCATATGCACCAATATTCTAATTTTGTCTGTTTAGGAGAAATGCAGCTTGGTCATAAAATTAGTAAGTTTCTAAACATCATTTTGCTAATGGCCTTATCTGCTCTGAATTCTCTCTGGCTCTGCTGTTCTCTTGTACCCAGTGCTTATTCAGATTTAACAGAAATGCTCTATTTGCTGGCAAACTGTGAAGCAGTTTATGATTTTTGAGTGAAAATGGTTTAAGGAAAAAAAAAGTCACTGCAATTTAAAGCTGTACAGTATTGCTGTATTGGCACTGGGCTCAGGATGTTATGGGAAAGCATCCCAGGAGAGCTAAGGCTTGACTCAGGCTTGCGCTGATGAACTGCAAATCCAAACATCCCACTTATTCTGGTCTCATCTGTTTCAGGACCTGAAGCCAGGCAACCTGGCTGTGAATGAAGACTGCCAGCTAAAGGTAGGAAAAATGCAGGTAGCAGGTCAGAGTGCCCATAAGCTGCTCCACAAGCGGGAATGCTGGCGTGCAGGTGTCATCGTGCTTCCCCTGACGTCCCACAGCTCAATTTGGGGAGCTGCATTACACAGTGGTTGTAGTCAGCAGGAAATATTCACCTGCTTATGCAACTTGCTGAATCAGGGCCCAAGCCTTGGAATGAACATCCTGTCACTGTCATTCTGGCTGCATTGAAGTTCGCAATGACTTCCTAAATTAATGTAATACTACTGAGCCATACTGGTGTTAGGTGGATAATCCCTGAAGGATAACTGAATACAGCCCCAGTTACCCTTTGGTTCTTGTTGGCTAGGCCCGAGGCATAATGGCTGTGATTCTAGACAAAGTTATTTTCAGTGTATCCCTGAAAAGATTGCTTACAGCTCAGTGGGGTGACAGTCTCCCATTTGTTTTCTGTAATGTATATTACTGGGAGAGGTTCTGTTGCCCGTAAAGGTTGGGTCAAGCCATGCTCATCTTCAGTATTGAGAGGTCATCTCCTGTCAGCTGCCAGGTGTTGTTATAGGAAACGGTGAGTCATAGTGGCTTGTGAGCATGCCTTGGCCTCTGCCTTCTGGAAGTCCATTAAAAAAAATCTCATAGAGTTTAAAGGAAGTGACCTTCCAGGTAGCAGTGCACGACACAGATCCTCTCCACAGGGTCTCCACAGAACAACCAGCTCTGCAGCTGGCTTGCAACTTTCAGAGAATTAAGACAAACTTGTAGGTCTTTGAACCATCCCATGGGTGGCTTTGGTGCAGACAGAGTTCGCTCTGATCAGATCTGCTTCATTTTAAAGCAGATTATTGCTTGTTGGATGGATGGATTGATTGATTCTTCCCTGCCTTTCCTTCTCCTCTTCTTTTGGTGAGCTGCAGATCTTGGACTTTGGCTTAGCAAGACATGCTGATGCTGAAATGACAGGCTATGTGGTCACACGCTGGTATAGAGCTCCAGAAGTCATTCTGAACTGGATGCATTACAACCAGACAGGTGAGGTGCATTGCTTCTGCTATGTGACTGTCTGGTGACAAACCCAAAGACCTCTCTGTCATGCGTGGGTCAAATCTCACCTAATCTACCAGATGTTTTTGCTCTCTGTAATCAGTGTTCCCTGACATGGAGCAAGTCACAACTGGTGCCTGTGGGAAATGATGAAAGCAAAGATTTTTGCAGCATGGAAAGAACTGGGGAGGGCAGAAAATGGGACTGAAATTGAAATGGGTGCCTGCTGCAGACTGTAAAAGTAGGCAACAGCTCATGCAATTTTTTCCTAAAACCTACTCTTTTAAAATTTTTCCTTCTTTCTTCCCTAACAGTGGATATTTGGTCTATCGGTTGCATCATGGCAGAAATGCTGACTGGGAAAACACTGTTCAAAGGAAAAGACTGTATCCTTTCAAACGAAACCTTTTCCCTCAGAGGGATAACAATTCTTGGCATGTGTGAAAGAGCCTTAGGAATGAGGCTACAGAGGGAAATCAGCGTCGGTCTGGTTTACTAATAGATAATCACAGGGGATCAGTGTAGTCTTTTTGGCGAGGAAAACAGAACAGAGAAGAGGGACAAGACACCCTTAGAAATGCACCTTCTCTGTGCAACGTACTCTCTATATCAGCAGCCTAACCTTGAATTCCCCTAATTTTATACCCAAGCCCTTCCATACTCTCAAATCTTTGGGCATATACTCCAGTAGAACTGTACAAGCAGAACTCACTGTTGATAAGGACTGCATCCTAGGAAGAGAGGATGCAAACAGCGTAATGAGTCTCAGTTTGTGTGGCTTTGCAGGTCTGTATTATTACCTGCTCAGAGCTGCTGCTGCTCCTGGGACACTCATGCGCACAGCCCATAGGTTGAGCTGCTGGGTGGAGACCAGGGCTTGCTCCCAGGTGGATAATCTTTAACACAGCCTGCCAGACCTTGATCAGCTGACTCAGATCCTGAAAGTAACAGGGCATCCGGGAGATGACTTTGTGGAGAAGCTTGAGGACAAGGCGGTAAGGAAGCTCTGTGGCCATTCAGGTCTTGCTGCCAGAGGCATGGTGGGGAAAGGTTAACTCACAGCGAGACGGGCCACGTGCTGCAGCCATGAACAGGAGAGACAGCAGTCTTTCCCATCATCAGGGAAAATATTTTTGTCAGTGACACTTCTGATGTATTTGATTTCAACACTCGTCACTGAGAACTCGTGTGGATCATGGGGCTGCTGGGCGAGGAGTTGATGCTGTACCTCCTGCCTCTGTTCTGCAGCTCAGCTGTTCTTAAGGCATCAGCATTTCTGTATCCCAAGAGATAAAAAAAAAAAGTTCCTCACAAGCTGGCCACTAAAATGTGACATGAGATAATTTGTTGTTCTCTTCTCCTAAATAATGAGACCCAAGACCTCTATTTTACAGCCCCCTCACACTTGTCCAGTTGCAGTAAATGCATGTGCTCTGCTTTCTTTTCTCTTTCAGGCTAAAAATTATATTAAGTCTCTTCCAAAAATGCCCAAGAAGGATTTGTCTGTGCTTTTCCCCAAAGCCAATCCTCAGGGTAAGTAATCTTGAGTATTTCTCACAAGTTCTCAAAACTGAAAAGGAGCTGGGCTGACTGCCACAGCTGCAATTTTGTTGCTCCACTTTTTCGTAACTTCTCACTGCTTCCTCCCTTGCAGGCTGTATCCCAGCAGGCAGTTGCCCTTCCCAGGGCAAATACACCTGAATTAAAAGTAAAACAATCCTTTATTGGCACTGCAGTGTCAGTGTTCTGCTGTTAGTGGCCATTTGCCTGTTTCATTTTTGTTTTCAGTTTTAAAATGGCATGGTGTGTAAAATATAATAAAGAGGTAAACTTCACATTCTTGTATTAACAAGCCAGAAGGAAGCATATGCTATGTACAACAGGATGTCCAGATCACAGAAAGCAAATCATGGGATTAGGGCAGTTGCACGCAGTGATACAACACCTTCAGCTCCACTTGGTATAGAATTTGGAATGAATTTTGGCTGATGTTAGCTTTGAGAGCTCGTTGCTCATGGCAAAGCAGATGACATTATGATTCATCATAAAACTTTAAAATGTTTACCCAGCCCCAGATCCAAAGCATCACAGGTTCTGATGAACTATGAAAGAGCCCCACGGTCCACTCCAATAAATCTTTTCCTGCGGGAAGAGTTCAGCTCAGATCGCAGCTGTTTGTTGAACACGCGCACCTTTCAGTATAGAATCACAGAATCATATCATAGAATCACAAGGTTGGAAACGACCTGCAAGATCATCTAGTCCAACCGCCTTCCCATTCCTATTACTACCACAAGCTACTAAACCATATCTCGTAGCTCCTCATCCAGGCGCTTCTTGTACATAACAGGCAGTTGAAATGTGTGATTTTTCAGGGTAAAAACTGATCTCCAAGTGGTTCTTTCCCCAAGTAGATTACAGATAAGAGAAAAACTCTTCTAAAAGGGGAGCATTAAGCTATTAATACCAAGAACAGAGATGACAGACCAGTCAGTATTTGAGTTTCCTGCCCTCCTGTTTACCAGGGATGTATAGATTTCTATATAGATTACTCAAGCTACTAGTATTTTGAGCTGCAGGGGTCAGAGTGAAAGCAATTGACTGAAGCTGCAAAACATCATGAAGTTAATGGTTTGCCGTTCACATTCCTGCAGACTATCCATGCAGTAATGCCTATGTGAGGCTAATTTGTTACCTCTGCACAACGTGTATCTCCACTTCTCTTAGTAAAAGTTACCTGCGGCCACTGCTTGGCAGATTTTGCAGATTTCCATGCTGCCTTGGCCAGCTTGAGGAATTTGTTTTGTTTTTAGGTATGGAAATGTCTTAGTGGAAACACTAGCCCTATCATTTTCAGGGTTTGTACGCAGGATGGCTGTTCTGCACTGTACCCATGTAGCATGTTTGTCTTCTCCCACAGCGGTGGACCTGCTGGACAAGATGCTGCAGCTGGATGTGGAGAAGCGCCTTACGGCCTCACAAGCATTAGCCCACCCGTACTTCGATCAATTCCGAGACATTGAGGAGGAGACAGAGGCACAACAGTCCTACGATGATTCTCTGGAGCATGAAAAACTTTCAATAGAAGAATGGAAAAGTAAGTTTATTTTATTTGACGCTGCATAGCACAGACTTTCCTGCCTCTTTCTGTTTTCTGTGAGCATGCTGAGTAAGGCCAGCTCAGCTGCAGCCACGCAGTAACGCCTTGATGATGGCATACATCTCCCTTTCCTTGCTCTTGCTGTCATGTATTCAGCAGAGATTCCTTCTGCCTCCATCTTTTCAGGATTCCATTTTTCCCCCATTTGTACTTCATCTCTTCCTCCCAGCTTGTACCTGCTGTACTTCTCTCTGCACATGATTAATGGCCAAAGTTTCATTTGTGACCTCTGCAATAGGAGATGCATGCTAGAGGTATTCATTATTTGTTTTTCTTCTGTTTTTCAAGAACATATCTACAAGGAGATCTTATCCTTCAGTCCAATTGCACGGAAGGACTCAAAGAAGCGAAGTGGAATGTCGCTGTAGTGACTGCTGCAGCTGTGACTGGGATTCATGTCTCATGCTGGATGACAGAGTGGGATTTGTTCCACACAGCCTCTTTTGTAGCCATCACTTAGCCTATGGGACTCCTCTGTGTGTGAACATGATGTCAGCACTGTGACTGTGGGCATTGGACTTTCTTCTAGTGATGGGGGAAGTACTCCTGAATAGTTTTCAACTCTAAAGATAAATGTGCTCTCACTGAAACTTTGGGAGAAATTGCTGGTATTTTTTCTCCCTCCCCCCCGTCCCCTCCCTGCATATTGCCATGTTTTTGTTTCTCCTTTCTTTCTAAGCACGAGTTTTTAGACTTGAATTATGTATAAGGTAAATAAAATGGTAACACTGTCTGGGGACTGAGTCCCAAGCAAAATAATGAAATGGTGAAATTTAGCATAACAAGACTTTATCCACGTTCCCTTTCCCTGAGATCCTAAAGAGCACCCAGCACATCCAGGAATCATGGGAATTTCGTTCTTTTGTACACACAGGCTACATTCAGGGCACCTTCTGCCCTGGTTTCTTGCTATGCACAAAACTCCCTGCTAGGGTGCTGTATCCTCTGGGCAGCTGGTACTCATTCTCCCTTTTTGCTCTACTTCTCTCAGCCTTAGGTTTTGATAGGTGCTGCTTCTTCCTCATGGCTAGATGCAAATGCATCCCTGGGAGTTAAAGACCACATTCCCACATTCATAAACTTGTTAACCCAGGGAGCTGGGTTACTGGCAAGCAGTCCTCCTGCCCTCACAGGGGCCTCTTCCTTTATGCTCAGCCTGGTTCACCCCCCAGTTCCCTCAGCCAGGCTTATCTCTCACTGAGCACCCTCTCCCTGGAGCTGCCCTGCCTCTGCAGGCTGCCTTTATCTCTCAGCAGATCTGGTATTTTGTTACACAGTCTAATGACATGACCTCTTATGTACTCATTCCCTCTCCTCTGAGGAATCCGTTTTACTATTTGTTCTATGCTGCAATTCTCTTACAGGGCTGTTTGTTCCTTAATAGGAAGAGACTTTAAAACTAACTGTTTGGAAATGTCTTAATAGGTGATTGTCAGTCCCAAGGCTCACATCCTTACTTTGAAGTAAGGATCAAAAACTTTATAGATTGGAGAGGAGGAAAAAAACAAAAACAACATATTGCATGAACAATTCAGCATCATCAGAAACAAGAATGCAATGATTCAATTCAGTGAACATGGAAAATAACTTCAGATATTCTGACTTCAGATATTCTGGTATCAGATCAGTTGCTTCAGTCATCAATCTTATAAACATCATCTGAGATGATCTTTTAAATAGATCATTTAAAATAGAATTAAATAGAAAACCTCACAGAAACCAGGCTATAAATCATCTTTGTGAATAAGAGTTTCACAGATTCCCATTAATTAATTCACTTTAGTGAGTATTTCTTAGCTACGAGAAATTGCCACCGCTCAATTCAAATCAAATCAATAAGATGCTCATCATATCCGTGTGTGACAAAGGTTGGGAATATGCAGTGCTTCTAGGGAAAGTACCCTGGAAGAGAAAGTTTCAAATGCTGTTATAGATTATGAACTTCTGGAGTCTTGCTGTAGTTGGAAAGGAAGCAATTGAGGGCCAAGGGCTCACAGCTCAGGCTTTTAGGGACCCTATGTGCACCCTAATGCAGACTCCCTAAGAAAAGCCAACTTAGTGTCACCTTGCCGGAACTGGTGACCTGAAAGAGAGCCCAACAGTGCTGCATCCACAGCCACTTGCACCCAGCCTTACCCTCAGATGCTATTTCTTTAGTAGGTATGGAGCTTTGTGTGATTTGAAGAACAATAAGATACTATCATTTTGCTGTTTATCACTCTGGATTAAGCATTTTCTCACATACAATTTGTCTGAATTTAATTGGTTTGCAAAGGTGTTCAGATAGTATTGTGACAAGAGTGTGATACATAGACAGAGGGAGGTGGTTTTATGAGCCCGGCTGCTGTTTACCAGACTAACCAGCTCAGCATCTGCAACCTCCCTCCAGGGAATGTTTGTTCCACCTTTGCTTCTGTAATACGCCAAGTAGTTCATTCAAACATAAAAGTATGTTTTGATCCTTGAGGTAATTTGATGTACTAGAAGTATTACTAATGTAATCTGAAGCCTGGAACGGAGGTATATGCGTCAGTATGTCCCAAGCCAATACTCAAGTACATAGGTGTTTGCTATAAATGTTATTACTACTGGAAGAGCAGAGATGAAAAACAATTACAGGAACAAAATAAGCAAACTGCATCTGAAAGTGACTTCAGTCTTATTACTATATATGCAGGTCTTAAAGAACCACAGTTTGAGGTAAGAAACCATTCTCTCCTCCTCCTACTCCATGTGATGCAACCTGCATATTCCCTGGACACAGGAAGGGAGCAGATCCTGCCCTATCAAAGAGCAGTTGAAATATCGTCCCTTTGAACAAGAAGTCTGACTTGGCTTCCCTGTCCATCATGTAATCTTTAACAGAGGTCAGAGAGGAGCTCTCTGCAGCTGCCATAAACATCTCAGAGCTGCACGTCTTTGTACTGAATATACTTCCAGAAAATATTTTATATCACCCACTGACAGTGCACAGTGGTCCTTCAGCACACTATTCTGCCACACGTCCCCTAAGGAGCATATAATTCATATACATTCATTTTGCTAGTTTTTTTTTTTTTTTTTCTCCCTGTGTAATTTACATGGCTTTAAAATATAAAATCCAGTGATAAAAATCGCTCAACCATTTAGTGAACATCCAAAATCCCATAAATCAGGCCAGATGGAAATAGGCTTGCTATTTACACTGAAGCACAGTAAAAATGATGCTGATATAAATTATTTGTGCCCACCTCGCATAATATGCAGATGCCCATCTTGAAATACTTTTTATATCTTAGTCCTGCATTTATTTTTGAATGTAGGGAGCAGTGCTGCTTTTTTATAATTATTTGGAAAGTGAAGCCTTCATCATAAACAATCCTTCTGTGCAAGTTTTTTGGCAACGAGTGAGATCTGTGAGATACAACTTTATGAGAGAGATCTTATTTATTAAGTACTTACAGCTGAGAGTGGGTGAAAAGAAGTGGATGAAGCAATGATTTTTTTTCCGTAAGAGACACCATAAAGTTATAAGGATTTATCTTTTTTTTAAGCAGACACACAATATTCAGCACATTTTGGACATCACCTAGAAAACTTTCTGTGCAAGAGCTCTGAAAATATCTACAGCTCCTTAGAAAACCCTGCATTTATTTTATCCCATAAGAAAAAAAAAGTTTTCATATTTAACCTTTTCACATTCTAAATAGACTAATCATTTTCAGGTTGTATGTGTGTGATAATGGGATAGAAGAAAAACATAGGAAATGATAAACACATCTGAGAACTCTAATGAGATCCTTTAAGAAGGACTGTAGTATGTTTTCATATTTCCATGCCTCACTTGCCTAAGTAGCAAGGGAAAGTTCCTAATCCTCTGCAGTTTCCCATGTCATCGTGGAGTGTAGGCTTGTAACACGATCGTAGCTTTGTTTTTTGTTTTTAAACCCAACTAAGAGAAACAAAACACAAAAGACCAGAAAATTGCCAGCACCAATTCATTTTCACCCCACAAAGGATGAACATTTACTTCACTAACTGCAGCTGTGTTCATCAGCATCACTCTGCTGTGAAAACATTGGTTTTCCAAGCAATTGTGGAATATAGGATGTTTTCTCTAATTTCTCTCATGCTAAGTCATTTTCTGACTGCATGGGTTTATACAACCTTTCATATGATGTTCAGCCAATGCTGCTTCGCCACTGATTCAGACAGCACTTTGGCTGATTGATAACTTCTTTCTCTTTTGATGGGTTGCGCTCTATTAAATAATGTTGAAAGGTAAGCATTTATCTTTAACCTCTAATAATTTTCAGTTGAATGAGAGCTAACTCCTTTTAGCCAAGTCTGGCTAGAAAAATTAGAATTATCCTACTATCAACCATAATTTCAGTTCTTTCTTCAGAAAAAAACCCAAAAAGGGTTTTTAAACTGATTTGCCCATTAAGATAAAAAAAAAGGAATACCATTAATTACTACTAAGGTGGCAATGCTGGGTGCTTGTGTCATCTCTCTGAAATCAGTGGAACTGAACAGAGCTACAAATACTCCCCATAAAATTAGGATCTCAGGAGGTGCACTTGTGAATCCAGCTGAACTGCACTGCAGCCAAGGCTAATCACTTTGAGGTATCTGGCTTTTAACCTTTAGTGTGCACAGGTCCTTTTTAGCAATAAAAATAATTCCAATAGTTCTGAAGAAAACAGCCACAGAACAAACAACCAAAACACAGATATCAGAAGTACTCATTTCGAGGCTTAATGAATCAACAAATAAAAAAAAGGTCATTTTTCAGTTCTCAATTACAAATAATAATTTTCTCCCTCTTTAAATGTGTTTAAATACTTGAATAAAGATGAAGAAAATTATGACTGAATGTACCTAGCTCTGTGTGAACTGTCTTGGCTGCTGTTTTCATTTGAAGTGACATCCCTGGTTTTGAACTTGTACCATTTAAAAACTGTGAGAGCCAAGAAATTGAATGAAGCTGTGCCTCTGGGATTTCAGATAAGTCCAGAATGTTTTTTCAAATAACACATTAGTTCCACAGCTCTATTTTAAAATTAAATGATGGATAACTTGTTTTAATGCTCTAATATATGGCCCTCAATCTTCCAAGATGTCTGTGCATACTTCATCTTGTGCAGGAGTCACCCTACTGAACTTAATAGGACTATTCACACAGTTGACATTAAGCACGTATGCAAATCTTTGCGATTATAATAAGCCAATTTCAGTGCAGATCTAAGTATAAAGGGCTTCAAAACTGAGGTCAAAATAAAAGAACTTCCACAAGTCTGTCATAATAAAAGCATACCAAAATGCTGGGAAAAAAAATATATACAGTAAAACCTTCTGATAAAATTCAAACTATGTTCTCACATAAAGAGGGAAAATTAGGCAGTCAAACTGCTCATTGCAGTAAATGAAATAATTTTACTTACTGTGAAATTGTCTTTCCTCAACAGTCAACTCATTTGCTGAAATGTCTATTTTATAGATTTTTTTGTTGTTGTTCTTTATGGATAGGATTGTGCTTTTGCATAGATGTACTTTGGGGGTAAGATGGGATTTTATGTAATATGATATGCTTTATTTATCTCCAATTTCTTTTCATGCAGGAAAAAAAAAAAGAATGTATTTAATATGCTTGAGTTCCGATGTGTTAACAATAGCTTCTTCAAGAAGTAAACACAGAAATGAGTACTGAGAAGTTTTGAAATATAAAACCCGCCATAACATTACTGTTCTGCATTAAGTGAAATGTTTTCCCATGTTCTTAAAGCTTCACATTCTGGTCCAATTTGAGTACTTTGCAAAACAAGGCTGTCACAGACTGCTTGGCTGCTCTGATATTCCACACTTAACATACGATGAAAGACAAAAGATCCTATAGTTGTAACTGAGGGAAAATTACATTTTATCTTTGAAAACAATTCTATATTCTATTTATAATTCTATTCATTCAGATGCCAATATTAATGCAATATTCTGTATGACTGTAAGTGGGAAGTGCATATGCACAAGTACATGCTACGCTCTGTAACTGTAGGAGACTCTGGAGCTCCTACCGCACCACTTATCTCAGTTGCGAGCACAAGTCCTTCCTCATTCATTCCTCTCTGTCCCTCTCTCTGACCTTCCACCTTGTCACACCTCTGAACGTCAGGAGGCCATCTGGACCCGAAGTATCACACTAGAAAATAATGCAGACTCTCATTAATCCCATCATTTGACAGCGTTGTTTGGGTGCAGAGCAGCAGGGATGAGGCTTACACGCTCTCTGGGAGAGCTGCGCTAACTGGTGATACTGTCATGTGGTTTTGATGTTCCCGTGCTTCCTGCAAAAAGCAATACCGGGTGTAGGACGAAGCACTCTCATAAACTTAGGGCAGGAATCCGGCCAATCCCAGTGACCCAAAGCAGGTCCCTCACAGCTGCAGCTGAGCCCGCAGGCAAATCCCAAACGCAGGGACCGTCACAGGACCCTTAACCTGAGCGCCCTGGGATCCCCAATCCAACCCCGCCCCCCTGTTCCCGCTGCCCGCGTCCCTCCGCGCCACGTTTCCGCAGTTCCGAGCCCCTTCGGGGACGGTGACTCCCCCAGCCCCCGGGCAGCCCGTCCCGACGCCCGGCCGCTCTCCGCGATAAGAAACTTGCGTCCCGTCCTTCCCGCCCGCCCCTCCCGGCCGCTCAGAGCCGGCAGCGCAGCCCGCGGCGCCCTGCCGCTCCTCTCGGCCCGGGGGTGGGAAGGCACCGGGAGGGGCGGGCGGTCTCTGCCCGCGGGCTGTGGGGAGCGCAGCGCGGCAGCCCCCTCCCCCGCCGCCTTCCCTCACCGCTCGGCCGGGGCTGCACCGCCGCCGCCGCCTCCATTTTGTGCGTGTCCCTGCGCCCCCCCCGCCTCTCCTCGCACAGCGCGGGAGCGGCGCTGGAGGGAGCGGGGCCCCGGGAAGGGGGGAGTCGGGGGTGGTGGGGGGCGAAGCGGCGGCGGAGCGGCATGAGAAGGCGGCGCTGAGGCGGCGGCGGCGGACGGAGCGGCCGGACCGACATCTTGTGCCCTCCCCTCCCGCCGCCGGCTGGGTGAGCCCCAGGGGGGAGGGGAGGGGGAGGCGGATTTAAAGAAAAAAAAAAAAAAAAAAAAAAGGAAGAAGAAAAAAAAAGAACATCCCCCTCCCCCCACACCACGAAAAAAAAAAGAAAAAAAACCCAAAACGATAAGGAGGCGGCGGTGACGGCGGAGACCGCGCGCGGACGCTGAGGTAACGCGCTGCGCGGGCCGCGGCTCCCTGCCCTCAGGGGTCTCTGCTCCCTCACGCAGCGCTGCGCCGGGGTCGCGGGAAGGTGACCGGGCAGGCGGCAGGGAGGCCGCTGTGCCGCGGCTTGAGGAGCTTCCCGCTCGCTCGCCGCGCGGAGGGAGCGACCCGCGGCCCTCACCGAGCGAGGGGTAGCGGCGCTGAGCGCGGGAACGGGCATCGGGCAGCACTGCGTCCACCAACCCCCCCGGCCGCCATCTTGGCTGCCCCTCGCCGCGGCGCTGGAGGTGGCCCCACCCACCTTCTCCCACACTATTGGCCGAACGCGCCCCATTTTAGCCCCGCGGCGCTATGCGTTGCGATTGGTGGCGGGGCTGGGACGGGCGTTGGCGGTAGCCAATAGCGCCCTGGCTCTGGTACGCGCTCTGTCGCTCTTTCCGGCCGGGTGCTGCTGCTCGGGGACTATTTTCGCTCCCCGGGGGGTGGCGGGCCGCGGTGCTAAGGCTCTCTCACAGGCGCGCTCGTCGCTGTGTGTGCGCCCGCACCGTGCTCTGTTTTGACCCGCATCGCTGTCAGCAGGGTTGCTGTGGCCCTGACAGCGCTCCTGAGAGGAGCTCTGGGACAGCACCTGCCACGGGTTCCCTTGGAGAGCTGCTTAAACCCAGGCTGTGCCTTGCACTTCATCCACAGCCTCACACGACGCCCGGTGTGTGCACATCTCCGCCCGATGGCAGACATGAAGGGGTTCATCCCATGAAGGGTTCATAAAGCGTGTGTGGGTATCAGAGAGGGGAGCGGGCCCTCGGCAGCTCTGCAGCGTGTGTTGGTGGTGTGGGCCTGTGGGACGTGCAGCCGTGGAGTGGAGCACCGTGCTGTGCGCTGGGGAGAGAGGAGCCTGGAGAGGAGACGGCTGCTGCAGGCTGTTCGTTTCCTATGGCATTGTTGCTTTAATTTCATGGATGTGTTTCTTAAATGCTTCTGCAGGTGTTTACTCCTCCCCCCTCCAGAGCTGAGGGGTGGGAGGAGGAGAAAATCTCCTGAGCCTGTGTCTGCTCTGTGCAGACGCCGGGCTGAGCCTTACCTAAAGCTGAGCTTAGCGTCCCCTGTGAATCACTGAGATGTTCATCGAGGAGGGACCTTGCTTTTTTCTGACATCCACATAGAATCATTACGGCTGGAAAAGACTCTGAGATTCCCAAGTCCAACCTCAGCCCATCCCCACCATGCCCCCTAGGCATGTCCCTCAGTGCCCCATCTCCACACGCCACGATGGAAGCCCCCCCAGCATCGCTGCCTTTAGCTGCAGCCTTGTGTCCTCCAGAGGCTCACAAAGACTCCTGTTGCCAGTGAGAAAATTCTTGTCTGCCAGCATGAGAAGGAGAGAGGTTGAAGGAGGCTGAGGTCTTCTGAGGTGTGACTGGATGCTTCTGGTCCTCAGTGCAATGTTGCACAAGTGTGGATCACAGCAATATTTAGCCCTCCTGTTACAAGATCCACTTGTGCTGGATTTTTCCTGTGTTGCAATGATGTTTGATATGTGGATCTCTCACATTTTTTTCTGTGAAGCTATCTAGTAAATTTAAGCCTTCTGATGGGGGTTTGTTTTTCTTAGTCCCTTTTGCAGACCCCAGGCATCTATGCGCCACAGACATGAAAGCTGATACTCAGAAGAACTGAACCATTTCAGAACAAACTCGTGGGATAGAATTAAATTTAGCTCTGGCAGCTTTTTGCATTACAGCCCCGTTGTTCATTCAGTTGTGCTCTCTAGGAACCTATCCCTCTGTTCCTGGCATAATACTCAGTGAAAGTGGATTATGGGGTGTTCTTGGAAAGCCTTGAGCACACTGGTGACAGCAGGAGGACAACTCTTTCAACTTTCTGCTTTTATATCAACAACATTTGTCCATGGTAGGACAAAAGCAGCATAGGCAGTGTTTAACCCTGCTGAAGTCAAGGCAGTTTAGCATTTCAGCATGCACAGATGCTGTTTGCAGAGAGATTGTTTTTTATATGTGGCTGTGGAGGTGTTTTCAAGTGTGCTGAGAAGATCATAACATTCCTGAATTGCTTCTTAGAAGTTGCTGTGTTGCAGACAAGGTCACAGGATTCCATCTTGGCATGTCTGAATTTGTTTTATTGCTGCCTTCAAGGCTTTCCGGAGGTGGGTACTTGTGTCTCTCCTGATATCCAGATGCCTTTTAGAAATGAGCTGGAATTCTTATCCCAGACACTGAGTGAGTTCTGGCTGGCAGCAATTTCAGTGCCGTTTTAAATGCTTCTATGTAGTGTTAAGTAATTGTGTGTTTTACAAATGGGTTGGTTTAGAGCAGCCAGTTACTGTGGTAAAAAGCCCTCCTGGGGTAATTTCTCTGGACAGTAAACTGACTGTTTCTCTAAAGCTACTACAAGAACACTGTACTCTTGTTTTTCCTATCAGCAGGTAAAATAACTCTTCCTTGGAGTGCTAGTTTGGCTGAAATTTGCTCGTCTCTCAGCACAGCCAGTCATCAGCTAATGTCTTGTTTTTCTTGAACACAATGTTAATAATGGCTGTGCTCAGGTCATTCCAATTGTTTTATCCTCTGCTGTCTTTATGTTCATATATCTTCTTGCATCCAGTATCTTCTTTGGTTACACCAGTCAGGTTATACCCAAGCCATACGACAGCAGGATTTTCTTGGTTTTCTATTTGTTGACCAAGCTGCCTTTAGATGCTAGTTATAGAACTCTTTTCTACTGTTTGAAGCAACTGAACTTATCTGTGACCAGTACGGCTGCATTTCTGCAGTATGCAGGTCAAAAAGATCCTGGAAATCCCAGTGTCTATGTTTACAGGTGGAAATTGTCATCTCATATTTTACATCTGAAAACAAATGATGCTTTCAGACTATTATTACAGGAGTGCTTACTGAAAGTGGCACCTGCAGCTTATTTCTGTGGGTGCAAAGGAAATTTTGGACTCTTTTTCCAAAGCCGGTTTGTTTCTTAGTGTAAGTGTCGTATCATGGTAGACTCATGGATAAGAGGGGCGGTGCTTTCAGGAGAAGAGTGTCTCCAGGAAACTGTTACTCCTTTCTTGAATAACTTCATGAATTCTTGCAGGCACTGATCCATGAGGTGCTGCTTGCTTTGACTCAGTTGATGTTTGTGAGATTAAGTCCATCATGGAGCAAAAAATAATGCGACAGATAAATGCAAATGCTTTTTCTTGTCTGCAGGTCCCATACACAGGGGCCGAAAGTGCTGTGCTCTAACTAAGGGTGAGGTGCTGGTTCAGGCCCCTGCATAGCAACAGATAAGCTCTGGGCCAACTTATCTTATTGGGGAGATTTTACATTTGCTTTTCTTTTTTTCGTCTCCCTCTTTCCTTGGCCTGTCTTGTTAATCTGCATGGTTCTCCCTGTGCTTTGCGCTCTCATCCTTGACTCTGCCCTTTTCCCTTGCATTACTCACTTGGCCTCCTTTCCACTTTCCTTCTTTCACCCTTGGACCTCTGGGATCCTGCCGCTGCCTTTCCATCCTTCTCCAGCTCTTCTTGACAGCTCAGCTTCACCCCTCATTGTTGGGCAGGTCCTTAATGGCTGGAACTGACTCTCAAATGGTTATCTTTGTTGCTGATTAGCAGTTTGTGAGGGCAGAGCTGGCTTGGGCTTTTTGTTAAGGCTCCATTTAAGCACCATTGCACAGTTCCCAGTACAGCTTGGTCTAGATGGTGTCTTGCTGCCTTCCTGCTTATATCCCTGTGGATCCTGCATGCCGAACCAGCTGAGGAGCCTGAACATGGATTGTGGCTTCAGAGGGGCAGATGCTGAGCCAGCGCTTGTAAGTCCATCTGGATCCATATTGGTCATTCCCATACTCGTTCCCTTTTACTTCTTTGTAGATCCTGCCAAAGTGAAGAAGGGATGCACATCTAGCACCCATTGCATTGCTCTGTTCATCCTCTGGTTCTTCATAGACTTTTGTAACCCATTTTGCATGACATGGAGGACATGGGTACCTCAGTGCACATTCTGTCTGCAGGATGGTGTGAGAAACCAGCTACAACTTCAGGAAAAAGGAAGGCAAAGCTGGTAGATGTTTTTCACCATGGAACTCTTTCTCAATGTGGGTGAAGGAAGAAGTGGCAGTGAGATGGGAGATATGGGTGAACTTCTTTCTGAACTGAGGGAGCACTGCTGGTGTATGTTCTCATGTGGAGCTCAGTTAAAATTAAAAAAAAAAAAAAAAAAAAAGATTGGCAGGGGGCACTGCTTTTGTAGAGCAGGAAGAGTGCTTTCCTTTAGGTCTGGAAAACCAGATCTAATATTCAGCACATTATGTGTACTGCTGGGAACTCACAGGCAAAAGAACACAGAGAAGAACTCCTTGGCCTGCATGAACTAAACATTGAATGGCACGAGCAGGTTTAATAAGTACTGTGCGTTTCTGAGGATCTGGATGGTTTGTTGGTCTCAGTGCATAGCAGAGTGTTTAGATGCCATTCTTTAAAACCCATTTCAACTCTTCTCATCTGTTGGTATGGGAAACATTTCCTGGCTTGCAAGTGGAGAAAGTTGGAGGGTGCTGTGCCTTGCTTTGCACTGCAGAAATGATTGATATATCCAATACTTGCTTGTATTTAAGGTGAAGTAAACTCTGCAAGCCTGAAATTGCTGAGTCCCTTAGTTGAAATGCTTTTCTATTGTGATGCTGTGTGTGTTTTTCAATCTATGCTGCTCCTGTTTGCTTGTCTCCTTGGCTCATGCTGGTCTTGGTTTGTTGCAGGGTCTCTGGTGGACCGCAGCAATGAGGAAGCCTCAGAGAAGATCACGGCAGAACCTGGAGGGCCGGCGTTCTCCCTCGCCCTACAGCCTCAAGTGCTCGCCCACTCGGGAGACGCT